TGAAGATTCGGGAGAAGGAGAAGTGGGTTGTGCTGTTGCTGTACTCTCCGCGTTGACTGCACCTTCACCTGCTGGATTGTTGACGTTGGCTCCAGTTGGACCTCCAGATGTAGACGAACCATTACTCCCTTCCCCAGCAGCAACAGCAACAGGAGGAGAAGGAACAGGAGGAACAGGAGGATTAACAGAGCCATCATTACCACTACCAGCAGGAGAAGCAACAGGAGCAATAGGTGAAGGAGGTTCAGCAATAGGAGGAGAAGGAACAGGAGGTGAAGGAGCAGCAGGATGAGCAGAACCATTACTACCACCACCAGAAGGAGCATTAGAACGACGTTGATTAGCACAATATTGAGGAATATTAAGAGGACCATTAAGAGTATTTCTAGCATTTTCTTCATCAGGAGGAGGACGACAATCATCATCACCAGAGTTAGAAGATGCAGAAGAAGAACTCCCGGGCTTTCCAGGCTCACCTGTCGCCACGCAAACAGAGGCAACACTCATAATTAGAGCCAGAAAATACAATACACGTCGCACCTGCATCTTGACAAAGAAATATTCTTTTAGTTCTTTGTGGGTAGTTAACCTGGACGAAAGAAAAAAAGAATTGTATAGAAAAAAACAACGAAATAGAGAAACACAGACAGAACGAGAGAAGAAGATTAGAAAAATAAACAAACAGAAGTCATAAGAAAAACACAAACAAATCAACATAAATAATAAGGAAAACTTTATAGTGGTAACTTGGATAATTAAAAAGCAAAACCAACGTATCCAGTAAATACACAAACCACGACGAACACCAGTCATGCTTAAGTTCCTATGCAATTAAGAATATAAATGCTTCATTTATTAGTTTTATTAAATTCCCAGAGCAAATCATCATCAGAGAAGCAGGGCACAAAACACACTACCACCCCAGCAAACAATAAGCAAACAAACAAAAAAGATATTAACTATTAGCCCAATTTACCCAGTAAACATAGAAATATACACCAACTATGGGTGTAAGTCTATATATGTGTATATACGCAATTATAAATATAAATTCATCTGTTATTATTATTTCTTTTCTTTCTCATTGCAAAAACCAGTTCATCATTATCATTACAGTGCAAGCCCAGGTGCACACACAGAGAGAGTCTCCAAGAACACACACACATACAATGGAGTAGTAGCAATAATAATTATTATAGGATAAACACAGAGAGTAAACACACAAAACACATTAACATTAAGAAACAAAGAAAAAAAAATACCCAACAGGTGAAAGATTAGTTAGACTGTAGGGATACATGCAAAAAAAGAAAAGAAAGCAAAGGATGACCTGAGTCACCACACCACACCATCATCACACAATCAGCACACAAGAATACAGGCCAGTGTAAACACAATCAGTAGTGGTACACGAACCCACACAGAACTGCTGATACTGCTGCTGCTGTCTGCATCACCCTTCTTGTTGTTTGTGAGTTCAGGAGGAAGTGTTGTGGTGGTGGTGGTGGTTGTATCTGTGCTATCTGCATCACTTGGGTTATTTACTGACTCACTCCCTGCAGGTGTAATGCCGTTTTCAGTCATTCCACCATCAGAATCACCGGTACTCTCTGTGGACGAATTAGTGGGAGAAGGAGAAGTTGGTGTTGTTGCGCTTTCAGTTTGACCAACACGTGAAGATTCACTACTGCTCCCCTCACCTGGTGAAGAAGATGTAATGGAAGGACCAGCAGCTGGACCAGAAGGAGCAGCTTCGCCAGAAGCGCCTGCAGGAGGTTCGGCAGCAGTTTCTGCAGGACGTGGTTCACTGATAGAATCTTGGGATCCCCGCACACCTTGAGCAGCAGATACTTCCTGTGTAGGTGATGAAGAGTCTCTTGCGGCAGGTTGCGGATGAGTGCCAGGACCAGCAGCACCAACACCACCAGAAGAAGAAGAAGAAGTACAAGTACCGCCAGTGGAATCACCAGCACCAGCTTCAGGACAAGTACCAACAGAATCAGGAATAGATGGTGGTGGAGGGGGTGGAGGAGGAGGCAAACAATTTTTACCCTGAGGAGGAGTGGAACCGTCAGGAGTGCAAGTACCATCAGGACCAGCAGCTGCCTCCTCAGCTTTATCCTTTGGATGACCTCCACCTTCGCCAGGAGGAGCATCAGCACACACAATACCGCAGGCAAAGCAGAGTGCTAACACCAAAACACAAATGGTGTAGCGCATTTCCATCATTACAGTTTTTTTTTTTTTTGGCTGGGTTTACTTTCTGAACTCTCTGTTATGCAATCAAAAACTCAAAAGACAGAACCAAACAACCACAGAAAGAAAGAAAAATAAAGACAACATTATAGGTAACAAAGAAATGCAACGAAACGACAAGAGTAGGAGCAACACACAAAACACAAACATCACTCAGTTAGAGTTCAAATAAAAAGAACAAGGCACACAATACCCAGCACGAAAAAAAAGAATCCCAACTAAACACTCAATATGAAAAACAAAGAAGTTAAGACATCAACCATTAGAGGCAGAAAGCACAGAAATACATCAAAATGCCCCTTCCTGTAGTACCAAAGAAAATAACAAATATTCTTATGTATTCCTTATTATTTTTTCTCCCCACAAAACAATCCAACACCACAGTACAGGAGAAAGCACAGAGCGCCCAAGCAAAAAAAATGAAAAAAAAACACAAATTAAGAAGAGCACCAACCGCACAAAAATAACTCAAAGAGCACTGGGTATGATGGTGTGTTCAAGCAATTAGGAATACAAATTGTACTAACCACTATTTTTTTCTTTGCTCTGCACTATCAGAATACAAAAGCTGTGCAGGGTAAAGTGCACAATGACCCAGCACACCACAAGCAAACAAACAAAGAAACAGATATTACCAATAGAGCCCAATTTACCCAGTAAACACAGAAATATACATCAACTACGGGTGCAAGTCTATAGGTGTATAAATAAGCAATTATAAATATAAATTCATCTGTAATTATTATTTCCTTTTTCCCCTCACTGCAAAAAACAGTTCATCATCATCACAGTGCAAAGCCCAGGTGCACACACACAGTGAGTCTCCAAGAACACACACACACAATACTCCATGGCTCTAGTTTATACATTAAATTACTGCACACAAATGCATGTCTATATTTAAAATAAAAGTATGCTGTCAGTGAGCAGAACAGCCCAAATTTCTGCCCACACACAACGGAAAAGCAAGTAATAGAATTATTAGAAAAATGAACACACACAAACATAAAAGTAAAAGAAAAGATATTATAATTAAAAGAGAAAGCTGGTAAACAGATTATTATTTTCATTCACCCATGGGGGATGTACGCAATTATGATTATGTTAGGATAACCATTATTATTATTTGTCCTCAGATGAGTCCCACCGTTCAGTACACGGTAACGGAGAACAACACAGCCACAATCAGTAGCGGTGCTGCAGTGCACATCCATACAGGATTGACACTGCTGTCAACATTACCCTTATTCTTCTCAACTGTGGAAGCGATGGTGCTGATCTCTACGTTGGGTAAAGGAGATGAAGAGTTGGTTGGTGCTTCTGTGGTAGTATTCTCGGGTCTTGGCAGAGTAGTAGTAGTTGTTGATTCCGCATCACTTGGGTTATTGGATGGCTCACTCCCTGCAGGTGTACTGCCACCCCCAGCGTTTGCAGTACCAGAACCATTGGCAGTCTCTGTGTCTGAAGATTCGGGAGAAGGAGAAGTGGGTTGTGCTGCTGCTGTACTCTCCGCGTTGACTGCACCTTCACCTGCTGGATTGTTGACGTTGGCTCCAGTTTGACCTCCAGATGGAGACGAACCGTTACTCGCTTCCCCAGCACCACCAGCAATAGGAGGAGGAACTTCAGCAATAGGTGAAGGAGGTGAATCAATAGGAGGATTAGGTAGAGGAGCAGCAGGATGAGCAGAGCCACCATTACCCCCACCAGCAGGAGAAGCATTAGAACGACGCTGTTCAGCACAATATTGAGGAATATTAAGAGGACCATTAAGAGTTTTTCTAGCATTTTCTTCATCAGGAGGACGACAATCATCACCACCAGAGTTAGAAGATGCAAAAGAAGAACTCCGGGAATTCCCAGCCTCAGCAGCCGCCAAGCAAACAGAGGCAACACTCATAATTAGAGGCAGAAAATACAATACACGTCGCACCTGCAGCATGACAAAGCAATATTCTTTTAGTTCTCGTGAGTAGTTAAACTGAACAAATAGAAAAAAAGAATCGTATAGAAGAAAAACAATGAAATAGACAGACAAAAAAAGAGGATGAAAAAAGAATAGAAAAATAAACAGAAGTCATAAGAAACACAAACACATCAACAGAAAAACAATAAAGACAACTTTTATAGTGGTAATATGGAGAATTAAAAACAAAACAAAAAAAAGAAATTAAAAGCAAGACCAACTTACCAGTAAATACACAAACCACCGTGAACACCAGTCATGCCTAAGATAATATGCAATTATGAATATAAATGCTTCTTTTATTAGTTTTATTAATTCCCAGAGCAAACCATCATCAGTGGAGCAGGGCACAAAACACACAACGACCCAGCAAACAATAAGCAAACAAACAGACATTAACTATTAGCCCAATCTACCAAGTAAACACAGAGAAATACACCAACTATGGGTGTAAGTCTATATGTGTATATACGCAATTATAAATATAAATTCATCTGTTATTATTATTTCCTTTTCACTAAAAAAAAGCAGTTCATCATCGTTATTATCACAGTGCAAGCCCAGGTGCACACACACACAGAGAGTCTCCAAGACCACACACACACACAATGGAGTAGTAGCAATAATAATAATTATAGGATAAACATAAAGATAGTAAAAACACACAAAACACATTAACATTAAGAAACAAAAAAGAAAGAAGAGATAATCCCAACAGGTGGAAGATTAGTTAGACTGTAGGGATGTATGCAAAAAAAGAAGAAAAGAAAAGAAAACAAAGGATGACCCGAGTCACACCACCACCATTACAATCAGCACACAAGAATACAGGCCAGTGTAACCACAATCAGTAGTGGTACACGCACCCACACAGAACTGCTCATACTGCTGCTGCTGTCTGCATCACCCTTCTTGTTGTTTGTGAGTTCAGGAGGAAGTGTTGTTGTTGTGGTGGTGGTGGTAGTAGTGGTTGATTCCTCGTTAATGGCTGATTGACTCTCTGCTGGTTTTGCAGCATTCGGGTCACTTTCAGCCTGATTATTCTGCGCTTCTTCTGTGGGTGTATTGCTGGAAGAAGTATCACCTGTACTTTGAGTTGTTGAAGTAGAAGAGGTTTGTCCATCATTCCTTTCTGGCCTTGTTGTGTTTGTGTTCTGTGTGTTGGCACCTTGTTCTGTATCTCTCTGATCACTGTTATCCTGTGAACGATTATCACTTGGTATCTGTTGGGGCGATGTGTCACCAACAGTTAAGGTCTCATCAGTACGTGATGTAGTAGGACTACCAGGTGGAGAAGGAGAACCAGAAGAAGATGAAGTTGGTTCAGAATCAGAAGTTTGTGCCTGATGATTCTGAGTTTGCCCAGCGTGATTACCACCCTCAGGCAGGTTTCTTCCTTCTTGATGGCTCTCAGAATTCATTTCTTCTTCCCCCCTTTGCTGCGGCTGATCCACCTTAGGCCCTTTCAAATCCCCTTCTGGGCCCTTGGGAGCAGGATCAGTTTCAAGTTCTTGCATGGGTCCTTCTCCTGTTCTCCCATCTTCACCACCACCAGCATGAGGCTGACCCTTAGCACCACTATCTTGACCACGAGCAGTAAGACCTTCATTAAGAGTCGCAGTATCTCCAAGATCAGCCTTCCCTGCAGCCTCCACACCAGCCACAGCACCCACACAAGCAACGCTCAGCACAAAGAGAAGAAAAAACACCAGCACACGATTCATCGTCAACACAGCAAGATCTATTTTTCTTGTTTTAGGTCACTTAACTACAGAAAAAAAAAGAAAAAGAAAATAAAATAAAAACAAGCACACAATAGTAAAGAAACAGAGAGGAACAAACCATGAAAAGCGTAGCATAAGTACCAGTTACACCAAACCACGCCACCAGATTAAACAAAACAAGTTTAATAAAAACTCACCACAAACACAGTGATGAAAGAATCTCAGGAAAAAAATGAAATTAAGATCAAGACAAACGGATACACAAAACACATAAATAACACAGATCGTTCTGTGCGAATGAGGTAATACGCAATTATGAATAAAAAGGTGTATCAGTTATTCTTATTTTTTTTCTGTAGAAAAAAAACGACCACAATGGTGCAAGGCAAAGCACAGAATGCCTCAGCACACCAAAAGCAAAAAACAGATATTAATCAGTAGCCCAATTTACCCTGCAAACACAGAAATACACCAACTATGGGTGTAAGTCTATATGTGTGTATACGCAATTATAAATATAAATTCATATGTTATTATTATTTTCTTTTTTCCCACTGCAAAAAGCAGTTCATTATCATTACCACAGTGCAAGCCCAGGTGCACACACAGAGAGAGAGTCTCCAAGAACACACACACACACACACACAATGGAGTAGCAATAATAATTATTATAGGATAAACATAGAGAGCAAAAACACACAAAACACATTAACATTAAGAAACAAAAAAAGATAATACCAACAGGTGGAATATTAGTTAGACTGTAGGGATGTATGCAAAAAAGAAAACAAAACAAAGGATGACCTGAGTCACACCACCATTACAATCAGCACACAAGAATACAGGCCAGTGTAACCACAATCAGTAGTGGTACACGCACCCATACAGAACTGCTGATACTGCTGCTGCTGTCTGCATCACCCTTCTTGTTGTTTGCAGACTCAGGAGGAAGTGTTGTTGTGGTGGTGGGATCTGTATTTCTCACATCACCTTCTTGAGTATTTGCTGACTCACTTCCTTCAGGTGTAGTACCATTGACAAGATCATATGGTGTGTCAGTACCTCCCTGAGTCGTTGAAGCATTACTGTTGTCTGCCTCGTTCTCACCTTGCGCAGCAGTTTCTTTGGGAGCACTCTGTACAGTTTGCGATACCTGGTCCGATCCATCGTGGTGTTGTGTTGTACCAAGGTTAAGTGAACTTTCTTCATTTGAAGGTTGCTCCTTGGGACCATCGCCTGCTGCTTGTACCTCGCTTTCTCTCACCTCCTTAACTGGTAGATTCTCCTTCATTCCCTCTTCACTTCGATCCTGCTGATGAGGTAGGTCTTTTGTGGTTCGCAAAGAGGAACTAGTAGGACCAACAGAAACACCAGAACCAGGTAAAGAAGTAGGACTGCGTTCCACTGATGTTTCGGGTGGTGGAAGTGCAACATGTTCAGGTTTTGTTCCACTCTTTTGAGCATCTTCTGGAGGCACTTTCTGCGATGAATTTGCTTTGCAAAATTCCTTATTTTGATCCTCAACACACTGTTCAGATGATTCTTCCACTCCACCACTTCCTCCTCCTCCTCCACCATCAGCACCACCACGTCCAACTCCTACACCAACACTTCCAGGTTCAGGACCACTTTGAGGGTCAGGCTTCGCAACCCCACCACCAACAGGATCTTCAGTGTCTGCCAACACGAAACTGCAGATAAAACAGAGTGTGATGGTCAGAACACAAAGCACATGCCGTATTGCCATCATTACTTTTTTTTGTTGGTGTTACTATGTCAATTGAGCGGCCCAAAGAAAAAGAAAAAAGAAGAAAGGGGCAAAAAAAACAAAAAATAAATAACGACATGCAAAAACGACTTCCATTAATACAAGAGAGTTATAACAAAAACAATAAGAACAACAGTACATTGATTATATATTTGCAGAAGAAAACCTATAAAAACAAAAGGGTCGATAACACAAAAAAATAAAATCCTCAGACATCTTGCCCATAAGCATGAATATACCATTGGAGTGCCTTCTTCTCAAGCATGATGGCCTCCAATCGGTCTTCTTCTGCAGCTGTCTGCCTCTCCAGGTCCGTACACTTCAGCTGCAGTTCTTCTAATTCATCC